GTGTTTTTGACAAACCTTTTAGGCAAGGTACTGCAAGACAATGGCCAGTGTTTTCTTCCCTTCCCACAAGTTATTGCTGCACATGAAAGATGCTATATATATATATAGGTGTTCCTAAAGTGCTTGCGATCATTCAAAATGAGGGATGCTCTGTATACAGTAAGACTCCATAAACGCTATCAAGAAGGATAAAGAACCACATTGTTAGGATAACAGTTTTGCTGTGGATTTAAAACATTAAAGGACAAGAAATGGAGTGTAGCAAATTGGTGGAGAGACTAATATTAGGACAAGCCTGCCAAGGTACATTTGAAGCAGAAAAGTCTTTGTCAGTTAGCTCACTCTGGTTTCTCTGTACTTGGATCATTCTTTATTTCCCCCATATAGCTAGATAGTGGGACCATCAATGATCAAGGAAGAATTGCTTATCTGTACTCCCTTGCCTAGCACTTGGCTACTATAGCTGCACATTGCAGCTGAGCAGCGAGTGGCTGCAGCAACCAATGAAGAAAATTCAGGCAGGGAGTTTGCAAGCAAAGAAAGAATGAACCGACTCATAAGACTTGAAGTGGAGAACAGAAAACAAAAGAGGGTAGGTGGAAGAGGGCAAATGTGCAGGCGAGGGGGAACTCTCTGGTTGTCTTTCACAGCTTGTTTTCACTGCTACTCAAGCTGTGATTTTTCACCTTGGGGTAACTAATGCATACAAGCTAGGCTTTAGCATAAAAAAAACACAGTGAAGAGAAGACTCTAATGCTTACCTTAAGGTAAATTCACCACGATTGGCCATATACCACTCCCTGAGATTGATGCTGGCAAGTACACCTCATGTTGAAATTAAACTACTTGTTTGTTCTATGTTTTTAGTTCAAGACAATTCACACCAGTGGTAACCTTAAAGTAAAGCAGATCATATAACTCTGAAACTTCAAGTTTCGCAAGGCTCCCTCCAGCAATTAAATCACCCTCCTCAGTCCAAACCTGGCTGCTCTCTGGATCCCTGATTTGAATTGGGAGGTATTTCTATTACGCAGCATAAATTGAAACGGAACTAGCCAGGAACTTGGTTATTTTTGATGATGATGAAATGTTTTGGATTTCCAATGGCTACAGGGACTCCAGGGACAGACATACAAATGTAATAATGGATTGGAGGAATAGGCAGAATTGGACACAAGGGACACTTGTTTTGGATGAATAATGAGATGTACTGGCAAAAACAATCTAACCTCATGTACACTGATGAACTCTGAATGTATAGGATCCACTTGGGAGGGGGGGAAGATTCTGAAGTCCGTCTTGCCAGTTTAAAGACTGCTGCCAGTAGCAGTTAAAAAAGCAAACAAACATGATACCAGTCACCTCAACTTAAAACAAGTATGGCTGAGAATAAGCAAGTATTATCATTTACTAATTTAAAGATGAAAGAACTAAGGTACATGAAGTAACTTGCCAAGATAATATAATGAATCACTGATATGTCTAGAAATAGAACCTATGGTTCCTGACTCCTAAATTGTTCCTCTTCTTATCTCACTGTTTTCCTGGCAGTAAGGCAGAACTTTCAGATGACAAGAATTTACAAAACTGGAAAAGAAAGGGTGTTTTGTCTGAAAGATGCAAAAGCATGAGGAGCTGAATGAAAACTGATCACTTATCCTATCTTCTCTGTCCCATCATGTGGGCATAAGCCATCCCTTGATAAAATTAAGGACTTAAAAATTTTGAATGCAAAAAGAAAGCAGATGCAACTTCATAATATTTCTAGTCACCCTGTCAGATTCATTACATAGAATATTATTAAGTTCAATAATTCATATGAAAGTTGTTAAAAGGGGCTGGATAATTTTGATATATTTTATGGTTTCGGAAGCCAAGTAAAGATGAACAAATTTCATTCTTCAGGCATAAGTTGATCATCAGGAAGGATTTCCTCCCCCTCTCCCCCTTTACACAGTACATTATTTCATAGTTAATTCTGTTTAGGGTTTTTGCTTTCCTCTGAAAGATAAGGTATTGGCTGTAGCTGAAAGTACTGATGGACTGATGGACCAGTAGTCCCATCAGGTACTTGGATGGCAAATCAGCATTACAGTTCTTCATAGGACTTTTAGTGCTTGTAGAAGGTATTGGATTGATGGAAGTCTGAGGTCTATTTACAACACAGGAGGAGGATACAATGCAAGATTTTTTTACTGTCCTGCTAAAGCATCTTGGCTTTGTTTTCAGAGGAACAACCTCTAGAGTTGAATAAGCAGTTTGGCCTCCATACCTGTATATAATTATGGACAGATTTCCTGAGGGAGAAAAATATCTTCTCATTCTTTATCAGTAAAATTAATTGAATGAAAAACACTGGAAGCACCCTTCATCCTACTTCCCTTTTTCAATTAACATTCCTTCTGAATTCAGTGGGATTACATGATCGAAACCTTTACATTTGTGGTAATGTTGGTAACTTTATGATCCAAAGTCTGTTGAAATCAACAAGTCTTTACGTTAACTCCAATAAGGCCCATAGTGATAAAGAAGTGATAAATATATTTCTCTGCATTGAGACTGAACATCATATACTTGTAAATAACCACTTTATTATGTATCATTTTTGCTGAGTTTATAGCAACTCCAAGATTCATATTTATTCAACTTCAAATTTGATGAATAAAAGTAGGACAAGAAGTCTGCATGAAACAATGGGGGCCTTCCCTTTTTGCTGCAGAGACATTAATACGTATGATAAAATTTGTGTCAGTTTCTTCATGTTTATTTTACAGGTGCAAATAGAGTACTACTATTTTTATTTTTTTAAAAGCTATGTCATGTTAATACAAGCGAGTATAGCAGTGAGTGATTCAGTAAAAACTGAGCTTGGAGCTTATAACATGATGTGCAGCTTCCCAGATACAATTTATAACCATATTCCAGTCACTATTCTAATAAAGCATAGTTTATGTGTACTAGTCTACATGTTAGGATATTGTTTTTCAAGCAGTGTCTGGCATGAAAAGATTTTTAAAACCTGCATTGAATACTGCACATGGCCCTCACAGCACTTGTGAGATCATGTCTGTAATTCACTGTACTTTCATGCTGATGCACAGACAAAGGTGAATTAGTTCCAGACAAAAATGCATCAATGCTCTATTGAATAGTCAATTATTAAACACATAATGGAATCTGTGGTTATCAAGGCATGCAAAGGATGTGCACAGTCTGCACAATTTGCACCAGAAAAGAATGGTATCAGACTATTGCTAAAAAAAAGTCAAAATGGTATTAACATGGACTTTAGAAATATTTATAGTCTATCTACAGTGAATGATTTCCTTTCTTTCCTTTGCTTACAGTTGTCTATAGCCAAGTTTAGTATGTGATTGTATGTAGAAAACCAGCAAAATAATGAAAGAAACATTATTTTCTATGCTGCAAAGAAATAGTCTGTACAGTTTGCAAGCTTTCATTCTCTGGGGAAATAATTTCTTTGTGAGTCACACATGTTGGTAAATGCTACATGAAAAATAACCCAGCAATTCTCTTAGAGCTGACTGAATAGTCAAAATATAGTATATAAATTACTTGCTGATTGATTTTTAAAAAAATCACAAATAATGTATTTGATGCATCTCAGCTGAGTGGGGTTTGGAATATTGTTCAACTGCTTAAATCCATGGGAAATACTTTATTCAGGAATACTGTATTAGCTGACAAGAAGCACATTATCAAATACATTGTTTGTGATCATTATTCAATCAGTTCTACTTTTTTACTCCAAAATATATATCTTCATTCAGAGGCATAACTATACATCCTGGTACTCTGGACAAAACTTTGGGGGCCGGTGGCAGGCATTGCTTTCTCACATATGGAGCAGGCTTCTGCACCACCTACCCTGGCCGTGGGAGCTGAGCTAGAGAAGCCTGGCACTGCCTGGCTATAGGAGGTGGGTGCTGGGACACAAGAACACCTGGCCCTAGAAGCTGAAGAGCAGTCCCACACCAGCCAAGTATAGGAGGGGCTTATCTGCCCCAGGGACTCAAGGAACCTCATTGCTCCTGCTGTGTCCCTGTACCCAGTTCCTGTGGCTGGGCAGTGCAGGGCTTCTCCAGATTGGATTCTAGAGCTGAGTGGTGCAGAGCTGCTTCTGCTGTGTCCTAGCACACGGGTCCCTAAAGCTGGGCAGCCACAGGGCTTCTTCAGCTTCACTCCAATGGCCAGAAGGAGCAGGGCCTTTCCAGAGACTGGGGGAAGGGAGCATCATTCTTGTACCCCCTCTACGTTGGTACCTGGGGCTTGTGCCCCTCTTGCCTGCCCTAATTATGCCACTGTCTTCATTAACCTGTGTGTTGACACATTGCTACAGTTCATATTTCTGATAACATTATGAAGGAGGTAGAGGTTCTGCTTTGGGATAAAATGTACCAACTGTATTGGTAAAGAGTTATTTTATAGAATCATAGAAAATTAGGGTTGGAAGGGACCTCAGGAGGCCATCTAGTTCAACCCTCTGCTCAAAGCAGGGCCAACTAGATTATACCAGCCAAAGCTTTGTCTAGCCAGGCCTTAAAAACTTGCAAGGATGGAGATTCCACCACCTCTCTGGGTAACCTGTTCCAGTGTTTTACTACATTTCTAGTGAGAATGTTTTTCCTAATATGTAACCTAAACTTTCCTTGCTGTAACTTGAGCCTGTTGCTCCTTGTTCTGTCATTTGCAATCACTTCTCTCACTCCTCAAAAGTGAGTTTTAGTGGAATGTTAATCTTAGTTTAACTCTTACAATGTTCTAGGTAGTCATAAGAAATTATTATATTGCTTTTAGGGGTGCACTGATATATCAGTTGGCTATTAGATCAGCACCAATAAAAGGAAAAATAATGTTATTGGCTATCGACTTTTTTTAGTTGTTGCAATTGATAATTATGGCCCCATTCCCAGAGCACCCTGATGAGCATAGTCCAGCCCCCGTTCCCTGCCACTGGCCTGAGCCCACAGCAGACTCCAGGTCCTGGCAAGCAGCGGGAGGGAGTGCTGGGGAGCTGTCACAGGGTGCCATACTCAGCAACAAAGGGACCATTATCTGCTGCTGCTGCCGCTGCTATGGCAATGCTGCATGCACATGTGGGGCCTGAGAACTGGGGCTGCCACATGGATGTCAGGCTGCGCACGGGCGGGGTAAGGTGCTGTGCGAGGGACACTCCATTCCACGGGGCATTGGGCACCTTTGCAAAATTAGGCTGTCCCCGGCAGCAGTGGGAATTCGGCTGTGCGGGGCCGATTGACACTGAGGCAATGGTGGACTCTGGGGCTCCAAATGCACCCAGCACCACTGTCTGCATAAGGGTCCCCACCCTACCTGCCCCAGATGGCAGTACAGGTTGCACGAGGAGTGAGGCTGCATGTAGGAGCTGTGGGCAAAGGGATGATGTGTGTGAATAAGGTGGCCAGTGCCTTCCTCATAGAGGGCTGGAGCAGTCAGGAGGTGTGTGTGTGTGCATTATAACTGCAAAACAAACAAAATAAGGGCTATTCATGTCAGTAGTTTAAAATGCCTTTCACTATTACTAAATATCACTTATTGGATCAGCATCAGTTGATATGGTTGGTTAATCATCAGCTATCAGTATTGGGCACAAAAATCGTTATTGGTACACCCCTAATTGCTGTACTTTTTTCTTGATTTATAATTATTTAAATTTTACTGATACATGTGACTTCCAAATTACTATTTATTACCATTTTCTGCTGCATAAATTACTCAAGGTTATTTGAAAGGTTATTAGAAGTGAATAACGACTGTAATATCTCTTCTTTGCATCACTTCAAATTTCACTGTTTCATTTTCAGTACTGAAAGAACTGGACAGGTTATGAAGTCATCGGTTGCTACTGACATTTCACCTATATACATTTTGTCTATGTTAACAGGAGTTACATGTACTGGAGGTATTGGATATATAAACCAGTACATACATCAAGAATACACAACTAGAATTTGTTAAGTGTTCATGGGGTTTCTCATATATTTCCTGCCAGGCAAGCCTACAACTGCAAATGCATATGGCTGTCTGAAAATAAAAGCTCTCTCAAGTCAGAAGTTCAAAAGGTGAAGTTGTAAGTGTTCACTACTTTTCCAGATATGCTTTTTTGGCTGTACCATTTGTGTTTACTTGAATATTTAGTAAAAATTAGTTCCTAACTCTGTAATCTACTATGCACTGCAGACTATGGTGGCTGTACAGACTCTCTGTTTTCCAACAGTGTATTGTTAATAGCAGGATTAATGTCTTATGGACCAGAGTAGCTATAAGCTAAGTGTAAAAATTACTTTAGTTTAGCTACTGGATGTTTGAGAGTATGAATCACAAGGAAACTTTTAGCTACTTGAGCTAATATTCCTTCATCCTCACACACAACTTTGCTATTTCAAGGTTTGCAGGTCTAGTAATATAGGTGATTTGTGTGTCAGGGTACTAAAGCACAAAAGAAACATTCAGCAGTTGGATAGCTAGCTGATGATTTTTTTCATGCTATCACACATGATATGAGATGTGACAAAGTCACTCTCTTGAGTAAATTGTAACTACTATATGAAACGTCACAGTACCTTATGATATACCACAAGGTAACTCTTGGGAGTTAATTCATGTGGAGGTAACTTGCTATAAAAGAACTGAAACAGAATCCTAGAAAACGAATGACGTTAAAATTATCAGTCCACATCTTCAACATATAATGCATCATTAAATCCTAAGCCCCTAAAGCCTTGATGTACCAACAGTGCACCAGTAAAAAAATTACTTTCTCACTGTCTATCAACTCCACTGGGTATTCTTTAACTGTGGCCTCCAAGCAGAAACCCATCATCACTATTAATAAACAGCAAGACATTTGCTACAACAATTGTCAGTCAGTCAGTGACTTCTCTGAGCTCATTTATCTTTCTGCTGCATTCATTGATCTAGCACCCTCTGATCTCCCTCCCCCCACTTCTTTGGAGTACCTTATTGATACTGCAACAACTCTAAGTGCATTCCCTGGTGATTCACTCTGTTACTTCTATTGACCTTTCAGAATTGGTTTGTTCTTCCCAAAGAAGAGAATATTTTTTGTTGGCTGTGGGCCATTTATGATTAATGATGTATTGGGGTGTGGCGAGATCTGTCTGGAATGCATAGACATCTCATAGAATGAAGGGCAGATTCCTTTTTATGCATGGGGTGTCTGCTTATATTTTTATATCTGCAATTGTATTTCAAGTGTAAAGCTCAGAATTTATTTGCACTTACCTAATTTCTAGTCAGATAATCATCAATGTTTCTGTTAAACTAGGACAGGACTTTCAGGAAGGAAACTTTCTAAGCAGTTCTCCCTATTATCCATCCCTCAGAGATAACTTTTTTCCTGCAGAGAAGCTGTCTCATCAAATCCAGGCGATGCTAAGAGAATTAAGTGAGGTGGAACCATGGAGTTCATGTCCCTTCACACCTGCTGTAGACTCTAGAAACCCTCTTCTCATCCAGCTCCCTGACAATACAGCTCCACTAGAGTAGCAATAACAGAGATACCTGATGTCCTCAGCAGCCCTCAACTCCCCAGGCATGTCAGAATGGGAAAATATTCTCTTACTCTCCCTCTCCATGTAAATTAAGTTAAGCTGGAGGGGAACAATGTATTTTTAGCCTGCCAGTGTTTACCTCAGCCTACCCATTTTACTTCAGCCTACCCACTTCCTCTTACCCTGTATGTATGGGAAGGCTTACTGAAGTCTTGGGGCAAGAAAGGATGGCACAAAGGATTTGGCTATTCTGCCCATGTTCACTGTTTTGCTCCTTGTGAGCAAATTGGGTAGTTGGAGACACAGGTACTGAAAATATACTCCACACTGTCATTATCTTCTACAAACACATGCAGATATTGATATATTGGCTTGGAGTGGCTCCAGTCACTGAGCAATGTCATTCCTGCTTACAGCTTGGTTCTTGTTTCTTCTTATAGATGTTAGGGTTGAAAGGGACCTTAGTAGGTCACAGAGTCTGACCCCCTGCCTTGGGCAGGAAGGAGCGCTGGGGTCAGCCAGGTGCGTGTCCAGACTCCTTTTGAAGACCTCCCAGGGTATGGGAAAGCACCTTGGAAGATCATTCCAGATTCTGGCAACCCTTACTGTGAAGTTCTTTCTAATGTCCAACCTAAATCTGCTGTCCATTAATTTGTAGCTATTGTTCCTAGTTACTCCAGGGAGTGCCCTAGTAAACACAGCATCTCCAATTCCGTGCTGCCCTCCCCTGATGAATTTATAGGCAGCCACAAGATCACCTCTCAGCCTTCTTTTGCAAAGGTTGAAGAGATCTAGGTCCCTCAGGTTCTCCTCGTAGGGCCTTGCCTGCAGGCCTCTAACCATATGAGTGGCCCTCCACTGGACCCTCTCAAGATTCTCCGCATCCCTCTTGAAGTGCAGCGCCCAAAACTGGATGCAGTACTCCAACTAAGGCCTGACCAGTGCTGCATAAAGGGCAAATATCACATCCCTGGACCCATTTGTCATGCGTCTCCTAATGTATGATGAACTGCATTTAGCTTTGTTGATCACTTTGTCACATTGATGACTCATATTCATCGTAAAGTCAGCTATGACTCCAAGATCCCTTTCCACTGCTGTGCTGCTGAAAAGATCATCCTTCAGCCTGTAAGTGTGTTGGTGGTTCTTTTTGCCCAGGTGTAGCACTTTGCACTTGTCTTTGTTGAACTGTATCCTATTTCGTTCAGCCCATTTTTCCAACCTGTCACGATCCACCTGGATCTGTTCCCTACCCTCTGGTGTGTTAAATTTGCCCCATAATTTGGTATCATCTGCAAACTTGAACAGGTGTTCTCCACCCCCTCATCCAAGTCACTGATGAAGACATTGAATAACACCAGTCTAAGGACCGAGCCTTGTGGGACTCCACTGCCCACATCTTTCCAAGCTGATATTGACCTGTCCACCACCACTGTCTGGGTACAACCCCTAAGCCAATTT